CTCCCCCATATTTTTAAGTTTGGTCACTTGCTATGGCCTGAAAACTTAAAAAAAGAAAGAATTGATGAGCCTTAAAATGATAGTTACTATAATTTAGTAAATACATGTTAGTAAATTTAGAATGAAATTTCCAGATAATTCTAAGAGGATTCATCTAGCAAACCAAAGACAAACTTGTTATAGCAACTCATAAATGGTCTCTAAACTGATTTCTAAGTTTTACAGGGAAAAAAGTCTTTATAATCATAGTCACATAAATGCAGACAAACCCAAGATGAGGCTGGGTTGCAAATCAAATTCCTTAGAAAAGATACAAGTGAAAACATCAACGATATTAGAGGTTTAATACTAATGAAACTGAATGCTTATGTCCACGGGCATATTTGAAATCTGCAAATCAATGACTTAGAGAATGAGCTGCTCTTGTTAACTGGCTCTATCACACAACCTTGGAAAAATACTAAATTCTGCTACCTGTCAACAGATATTTACCATAAAGCTTTGCATTTGTATGGCTGTATTGGTTCTCACAATTGAGTTTGGGTACAGGATGTTCTCTTTTCTTTTAAGCTTACCACATGTACAGCTAAAAAAAAGTTCTGCAGGCTCCTTACCAGGAATGGCTCGGCCGAGCCTGGAGTGCAAGCTCCATGCCCAGCCACTGATAATCACAGATCAAAATAATTTAAATCAGTCAGGACAATGTATATGTGTATATCCTAATTTCTAAGGCACTTCCACAAACCGTCTCCATGGTCATACATTTATTTCGAATCACGGCTTTTGCAATACTGTATATTCTAAATTCGAGGAGTGGCAGGTACAGATGGCTGAGGGGGAAATATGCAGTATTGTACTCCGACTTACTCTCAAGATAGATCCAACCTGATATAAAATTGACTTAATTATTCCTGATGATTTTAAAAAGCCATGCTGTTCCCGCACCCCAGAACCGGGTGCTGAGGTGCTCTGTGCCTCTCGGTGGGGGCTGCCGGGCCCCCGCCAAGACAGCTGCTCCCCCACCGCCCTCCTGGCTTCCTTCTCCGCGTTCCAAACTCTCTCAGTAAACCGAGCTGCCACCCTGCGCTACAGAAGGAGGTGTTCTGCTTTTTAAAAGACGCCTGACTGTAAATGTCAAAGTCATAAATATTTAAACATCATTTTCTTTCAATTTCAAGTCAAGACTGATAAGATGCCTCCAATTAGGCTGCACCGTGGCTGGGCAGGCCCCCAAGCGCCCTGCCGCCCACCTGAGCCGCTCGCCCTGAGGAGCCGGGCGCTGGGAGGGCTGAGGCCCCGACCACACCGGGTAGGGGCTGAGCCTCAAACTCACTTTTAAGCCCCATAGCAGGCTGATTTCTTTCTCTTAAAGCTTGTGGTTAGCAGGAGGGGGGTTAAGATTTTTTTTTTTTTAACTCTACAAAAAGAAAGGAACTAAAGCAATTGTAAAGTTATTTAGAGGCAATGGCTATACCAAGAAGGGGAGTTCATTCTCATACTTTAAAAACCATTAGAATTTCTGTAAATATTCGTTTCTTCCGGGATTCTTTAGACCAGACTTGCAGCCAACATTTTCCCACTTGGACCCTCCTGCCCAGCGCTAGGTAGGTCGTCTGGGGAGGAGGGAAGCCCTGGAGAATCATTTTCTCGGTTTATCTAGGGAGCCCCGGGCCATTCGGTTTCCCGTCAGGCCCTAAGACCCAGCGACCTCAAAGTCAGGCTCTGCTGACCCCAGCTGGTCTCCTTGTCCCCTGCCGGGTTGTTCTCCCCACCCCCTGGGGAACCGTCCCCTCGCTGGAGCCTGGCACTGCCCATCTTCTCTGAGGTCTCCGAGGTCCCCCCGTTCGCTGCCCCAGCGCCACCGGTGCCCACCCAGCCTCACCTACCCTCTCCCTCAGGCTGCAGGAAGGGTCTCCCTCCCGGGGAGGAGAGCCGGGGCAGGTCCCCCCTGCCTGGAGACCACCCTCAACCCTGCTCCACAGGGGCTTGGGCCCAGGCAGCGGGAGCCCGGAGAGAGAGCGGGACACGGGGAACCGGGTCCCCTCTTCTCCTCCCCCTCCTTCCTTTCTCCTGTGGGGCCCAGGGAGGCGGGGCCGAGGCTCTTTGGGCAGCCGCTCTCCTTGACATTTTTCTTTGACCTTTGAGTAAATCCGAGTGCGCCAAGCGAGGGGCAGTGGGGCAGGCCCTGCTCCTCTTCCTGTGGAAGGTCATGGCGACCGTCGGTTTCTGGCGAGAAAGGACCAAGCCAACCTCGGCGGCCTCGTTCAGGCCACCCTGCCGCCCTGGGAAAAGCTTCGGCGTTGTCCCCGGTGACCGCCTGCCCGCGGTCTCTTGGGTGCCACGCAGGCCTGGCCAGGTAAACGCGCGGGCACCCGCCGCCTGCCTCCGTAGTGCAGCTCCTGCGCGTTCACCGCCTGCCACCTGGCCGGAGCGACAACTGGGCAGCGTTTGTGCCCAGCTGTTTGTACTCGGGGATCCGGCGGTCACCCTGTGAGGCTGGACCCCCGTGTACCCGACGCCCACAGCCCAGGTGGGTCTGTGCTCCCGGAGGTGCGAGTGGGGCCGTCGGTCGGATGCGCACTCATGCGTCTGCTACATGCGGTAGCTCTGCAAGTCCCCTCAGAGCCAGGCTGGCCACCTCGCGCGTTCGCCTCCCGTCGCGGAGCAGGAAGGTTCGGGAAGTCCCAGTTCCCAGGCGCAGTCAGCCACGTGGGCGCGCCGGGTTCTCCCGACGCCTGGGGATGCAGTGGACTGCGCCGGGGCGGGGTAGACTGCGCTCAGTGACTGCCGGATCGCTTTGCCTGACGAGGTAGTAGGGGGAGGACTGCCCGGCGCCCCCTCCGCGCGTCGCGCCGCTTCCTTTGTTGTTGTCCTTTCCCCATTCGGCCCAGGCGAGGCGGGTCCTGCAGGAGGCTGGGGCAGCGACCGGGCTTCCCTCGGTTAGAGGGATCTGGCGAGAGGGGGCGCAGAGCCGTTGCTCGGAAACGCCCTCCAACCTAGGTGTCAGTTCGGGCCTCTGCCACGGGTGCGGGTGGGACCCCCTCATGCTGGCGGTTTCTGGGGGCGTCCCCAGCCCGGGTGTGGGCGGCTTCTCCCGGCCCCCGCACGTGCTCACCGGCCCAGGAGGGCTCCGAGGCTCTGGCTACCTGCACCCGGCGCCGCGAGGCCGGCGCGAGGCCGCGCGCAGGGCGGAGGAGAACCTAGCCAGGGGGGCCGGCTCCCCTCCCGCCCCGCCCGGTCGCGGGGCGCCGAGCTGGGTCCCTCGGTTTATTTATGTGGTTTTGGCTCGCGCCCCGCGCGGGGCGGGGAGAGGGTGCGGAGGGGCCAGGCGGCGGGGTGGGAGCCCGGGCTGCCAGGGGGGTGGTTCGGGCGTTCCGCGGAGTGGCTTCTCTCTGGAATTAACTGTGCTGGCCCCAGAAGGAGAGGCGAGGGGGAGGGGAAGGGACTGGAGGGGGCGGATGGGGAGGGCTCCGCCTGCGCGCGGAGGGCAACTCCGCGCACCCGGCCCGCGCGCCTGGGGCCCTGCGCTCGCCTCCTCCTCCTCTTCCTTCTCGTCATCGGCCCCTCCCAGCCCCTCCCCGCCGTCTCCTCCCCTCTCTCCGACTCCCTCCCTCCTCTCCCTCCACCTCCCGCCGCTCTCCTGCCGAGTCCTCCGAGCCGCGCATCCGGGCGGGAAAATCCGGGCGTCTTTTCCCATTTAACCCGCGTTTCCATTAACTCAGCCCCAGCACCGGCTAATCCGCTGCACCGAAGGCAAAAGGAGGCTAATTAATGACCAGCTTTTCCAGTCAAGACCGGCGATAATTGCTTTGGTGGCCGCTATGATTACAAGATAAAAATGGGCCCGGCGACACAGAGGCCCTGTGTACACTCGGAGGCAGGAGGAAATGAGGACTTGGGAGGCTGAATGCGGAGCAGAAAATCACTAATAGAGAAGAGATAATGAACAGGCCGGCCGGGCATTCATGGGGAAAAATCCACTTTGTTACCACGCGAAATCAGGTGGTGGAAGGAGTTCGCTAATTGTCCCGCGCTCGCCGCGAGCGGGACGCGCAGGAGCGCGCCGCATCCACCCGCGCCCGCCGCGCGCTCCTCCCGGCCCGCCCGCCCGTCCTCCCGCGGCGGCTTAATTGTCGCTAATGTGCCTTCTAATGACGCTAATGAGGGGAGAGTGTGCGCACCTCCGTGCACGTGGAGAGTGACAGTCACCAAAAGGATTTACTCAAATTTTTAGCGTCGTTACCCCTCCCCTCTCCCAGGAAACAAGGACAATCTAACGGAGTTTGAGAGCCTTACTCTCACCGTCGCTGAGAAGTGAACTTCCTGGACCACCCTGTTCCCTGCGCCTTGCTGTTTGCTCTTCCCTTCAGGGAAAAACACTCGGGTGCGCAGCGCTGGGGCTGGGGTCTGCGCCTGGCCGGCCCTGGCGCAGAGCGCGCCTGGAGCTGGGGGCTCTGCCGCTCGCTGCCTTTGCAGCCGGCTGGAGCCTGCTCCAGGAGGCCAGGCCCCCCAGGTGTTAGGGAGTGTCCCTGTGCCCGGCGCTGGCTGTGCAGACTCGGCCCTCGGTAGCGACCTACCGTGCAGGCTCCCGGCCTCCAACCGCGCACTCCACCCCACACGGGCTGTGCACACCCGGGGGGAATCGCTGTACCTGTTTAAAAGGAGGGATGCACACCTCGTTTTGCTTAGAGTAGCAAGGAAACTGTCCAATACTTTACATAAATTTGAAATGAAACAGTCACCACTGAGGGGGAAAAAAGTGATGCCTCTAACTTTTCCTCTTGAAAACGCTGCAATCTGTGGTGTGCTATTTTGGAATCACTTCTGCTCCTCCTCGGAGGGGTGCTGTTCCGCACAGCCCTCCTGTTGTCGCTTCAGTGCCAGCGCCCAAGCCGTCCTGTTGGTGGAGCTTCCCGCCTGTCAGCCATGGTGGGGAGGACGGGTTTTTTGGGAGGTCTGGTTTGCGGAGGACTAACGTCCCCCCCCTCCTTGTTCTGCAGGGGAGCAAGGTCAAGCTTCTGCCTCACCAGGCGGAGCAGGAGGACTCGACCAAGTTCGTGGTGCTCACCTTGGTGTCCGTGGCCTGCATCGTGGGCGTCCTCCTGGCCTCCAGCCTCACCTACTGCCTGCGACACGCCTCCCACCGGAAGCTGAAGGAGAAGCTGTCGGGACTGGGGGGCCACCCGGGCACAGATGCCACCGCCGCCTACCAGGTAAAGAGAGGCTTGCCCCTGCGATCCTGGGTTTTATCAGTTGAACAGGCGGATCATTCCGCCCCTCTCGGCCCCTCCCCCACCCCCAGCAGTTGTTCATTTATGCAGAGTTTGGGTTCCCTAACGATGACAGTTTGAAACTTCTCATTAGCATTCATGTAAATACCTTGCAATCACAGCTTTACAGCTCTGGATTAATCTTGTGCCGGTCTTGGGTAGTCTCACGTTAGCTACGAAAGCAGGTTGCTAATTAGAAGACGTGGAAAAAAGTACAATGCATGAATTATGTATTATCTGTTATCTTTCTGAGTTTGGCCACCATTAATGAAAAATGCCAGAGTTGCAAGATAAATTGGCGTGTGGATGTTTGATGATGTCTCTTAAATCATCGACTTCCTCGGGGTCTCATATGAAAAGATCCTTTGACCTGATCCGGTGCCGCCCTCTGCGATTATTTGGATAAAGTGCAATCTAATGCTGATAGATGGGTGGGGGAGGGGGGAGGGGGGGGAGACCGATCAGCTCCAGGACAGCAGTGGCTGCCTTGTGCTGGAGCCATGGAAACGCCACAGGCACACCTGGAAGTGAGTCAGAAACCCAGGAGAGTGTGAGGAAGGCAAGTTTAGGCCAAATCGGGCATAACAAAATTCACAAAATTTTTGGAAGTTCTATATAGCATACGTGCCGTATTTAATGACGCCCTGTAATGAAAAGATGCCTTCAGTTCTAACAGCAGGGCAAACACAGAGAATGTGCAAGTCAGAGCATCTGATTTCTTTTGCTAGAATATATCGTGTAATTCCAAGTATATGTTCCCATTTGCGAAAATAAAATGGTTTGCCTAATAACTGTTTTAAAAGTTTAATCAATGTGTATTTGTAAGAGTTTCCCCAGTTGGACTAGATCCTTTGTTTTTTGTAGTCACATGATTATGTTGTGTCATATGTCTTATAAATAATTAATCGTATGTTACAAACACATGTAAAGTAAATACAATGCCATCGGTCACATGGGCAGCCTCCCAAGCTCTTTCCAGAAGATACTGTCCAGCAGTGCCCGGCAGGTGCCCTGTGAGCTCACCTGAGCTGCCTCTTCTGGGCTCTGTGGGCAGCCCTGCCCCTGGCCCCATGAGGAGTTGGGAAGAATTTATAAACTCTCCATGCTTAAAAGAGGCCAAGGGATAGCTTTTCCTACCCACTTAAAAATTCTTAGTGTTGTCAGCGAAGGGAGGAAACCTCCAGTTTTCTGGAAGGGGTCGCCTGCCAGGCCAGGTGTCGCTCTCTGATGAAGAAACGGCAGCTCAGATGTGTTGAAGATGGCATTTCAGGCACAGTGCATTGCTGTGCTTCAAAGCAAAAGAAAAAGCACTTTTGAAGAAGCAGTCTGGAAAAATGTCACGTAAACTAGGAAGAATTTGTCCGGAAACTCTATTGCGAGGGACTCTCAGTACAGGACGCCAGGTCTTCGGGGCCGGGCCTGTGTCAGGACATAAATAAATTATCACACCAGTCCTGTTCCATGCATAGCGGGGAAAGATCATACAGCCGTGGGTTTTTAGAAAGCACGGCATCCTTTGATACACTTTGAAATTCAGATATAAAATATTGATAGAATGGAAAGGTTGGACTTGCATGCAGAAATGATTAATTTTAAAAAATGCAGGTTGAAAATGCATACTTAGAACTGAGAGTTTGTGATAATTAACAGAAGAAAAAAAAGTCTTCCCAGTGACAGCTCTAATTAATAGTATCTGTAATTAAAATCACGCCCTTCCAGCAGGAAAATTGTTTGAATTTCTTGGAGTGACCTTTTTGCTGTTCCTCCTGAGGGCATGGTGGTTAAGTTGATATTGATTTTATAATGAGCTCTGGTTTGTTTAATAAGAATCTATAATCCGGACAATAAATGAAATGTATGCTTTTCTTCCATCCAGATTAATAAAAAGGAGAAAAAAAAACACTTTTTCTCTTAAAAATATGATCTAGGAAAATTTGGAGATGACATGATTATACAGATGTTTTGTTGGACTTAGCTTTGAAATCACTACAGAATGCCCTTTGGGGAACGGCTTTGATGAAATGTGGGGGTGCCCCATCGAAGCGGGTGGTTTACTGGAGAGAAAGTCCTAGTTGCTAAGCTGTTGTGTTGTTTTGGTTTGTTTTTTTAGCAGAGCAGGACTCAGCAAATAAGGATAGGGATTACCTGATTTTCAGCTTTAAATGTAGCTGAGTAATGTGTTAAGGACTCAGACAATTACAGTTACAAATAGAGGGCATTTACACTGGTAAATGAAGCAGGTATTAATTCACTAATGTATCTGAATCTCATTTGGGTTTTCTATAGCTGCAGCGAGTTCCCCCTTCCAGTTTAAAAATCTGTCCGAAAAGATGTTTTGTTTTGTTTTATTTTTTTTTAATACTGCAAACATAAAACAGTAAATTTCAGGAAAAGTATCTTGTTGCATCAGTGCATTTATTTTTAAATCAAAGCGCCTTCTGTACTTTGCTAATTCTGTAATGAAAGTAAGGCTGTGAATCGTAATTCTGGTCGTTGGATTGCGAGGAAAATTGAACAATTTGATATTATGCTTTGTTTCATGGGTGTATCATAGAAATACCCAATTCATTTTCTTAAAGTTTCTGAAAAAGAGAAAGAGTATTGTGTAAGTTGGATTAGAAGTAAGTAACCCAGGAGTGATAGAATGGTAGGTGGCATTATAATAAGCTTTATTAATATCAGAATACGAAGTTGCCCTTTAAACAAAAGAACTAAGTGTTCTCACCAGGGGAAGCAAGGCAAGGTGCGGAGGCCTCCTGTCGGTAGGGGGAAGACGGCAGCTCAGGGGTGGTATTATGGGGGAGACACGGGGGTTCAGCTTGTGTTCCCTTCTTTCCCAGGGGTGCAAAAGATGAGCCCCTGGGTCCCCAGCTGAATAGCACCAGCGTTAGTATCCTTGCGAGATGCTTGGGCAGGGACCGGGAGGCCCCTCGGTTGTTGGCCCTTGCTAACAACCGAGGTTGTCTGGGTCGCCCCAGCAGTGCACCTGCCCCGCAGGTGTGCCCCACCTGTGGGCACGGTTCCCAGTGAGGGCCTTGAGTCCCGGTGGCGCCGTGGAGTGTTCTCGAATGGTCAGAGGCTTTTCTTAAACTGGTTCCAAAGCAGAAAGCAGTGCAAACTGTTAAGTTCTAATGCAAGCATCTGTAGCCATTTTTACCTGTTCTTCCTCACAAGAGAAGTATTTCCTAGGCAGTCAGGATTTTAGAGGTGTGTGTGTGTGTGTGTGTGTGTGTGTGTGTGTGTGTGTGTGTGAGTGAGCTCTTGTTTGCCGCACCTGTTGGGGAGCAAATCTTTTTTAACAGACTTATACTTTCGACATGGACCAAATATCAATCCCATCAGATAATCCAGCAAAGTTTAATTTGCTGCAACTAGAAAAAAAATGGGTATATTAGCTTCCAGAGTAATTGAAGTATATTTTTAAAGGTCATTTGCTTAACAGAATGCTGCCACCAAGCTTTTCTCCACTGTTTTAGTGCACTGTGTATTTCTTCTAAATACATAAAACAATATGTTAATATTTGGATTAAATCTGTACTTCATTATCTATAAAAGCCAATTATGTTTACTTTCATTCTTTTTTTCAAATTGGCGTAGCATGTCATAAATATGTACGTGTATATATACATATACACACATATGTACGTGTGTGTATATATACATATACACATACGTGTGTATACATATACACACAGGTACACACACACTGAGGATAATCGAAGGCGTGAAAGAACTGTGGCATTTGGTGCCAGTATACTTTGTGCATTTTTTTCAGGTAGGTGTCCTATTTCTTCGCAAGGTGATTGGGTAAAAACTGTGCCAAAAATAAGTCGTTAGATGATTAGAAGACATCCTCCTCCTTTTTCTCTCTGAGTCCCTTTGAATGTTACTTCCATTGCTTTGAGGCTTTGATCATGTCGGAGCAGCAAGCTTAGTATTCTGCCAGCCAGCCCACTCTTCCTTCCCCGACGTGAGGGCAGAGGCTCCTGCGGCATTTTCGGCAAGTTCTCTTTTGATGGTTGATTTCACAAAACCCGGCAGGCCTCCTTGTGTACTTGGAGGCCTCTGGAACCAAACCCAGAGGCAGGCGTCCGGGCCACGGGACCTCCTGTGCACAGAGCCACTAAGTGCGCATCGTGGCGGCCACGGCTCCCACAGGCACGCGGCGGTTGGTGTGACCACAGCGTGTGGTGGCCACACGCGTGGAGGGTGCCCGTCCGTGGCTCACGGCCGCGTCCGGGAGTCCAGATGTGCCGATGTCTCGCCACTGGCGAGGGGGGCTCAGCCCTCACAAGGAGAGGACGGGTCACAAGTGGGTCCATCCTCTTGGGCTTTGAAGTAAAAGACCCTTATTTTCCTGAGTGAGTTTACTTTATTGTAACTGGTGTCTTCACAGGTACTAGGATCAGGACAGTCAGAGTTAAGTTGCAAAACGGTGAATTATCCTGACCCCGCCACGAGTTTCCAGGAAAACCTTTCCGGTGTCAGTCCTCTGTCTGTCTTAGAATGGCTTTCCTTGCTTTATATTCAAAATAATATTTTTTTGCAAATGTCTAACAAGCAAAGTCTGTCCTGCTTCAAAAATGAAAGGATGCCCCCAAAGTATTATTCAAGGACATTTCTTTTTATTATAACAGAGTCAAGCCTGAGAATTGGAATTTTTCTGATTTCACATTTGTAAACGTAGCTGATGACACAAACGTCTGCATGTAGAATTCTCTTGGAACTTTCAAAACACTGGCTGCGTTTTGCAGGGGTGTGTGTGTGTGTGTGTGTGTGTGTGTGTGTGTTGTCTCCTCGGACAGACGCGGGCTCCGTGGGGGTGAGCCCTGGTCACGCCCCTCCCGTGCTGGGGCTCCGGAACCCTCCCCAGGCCTTGCTGTAAGTCAGCAAATGCTAAGTCGTCGTTCTATTGGTGCTAAATCCCATGCCTTTTGAGGCAA